CGCGGATCGCGATTTCGATCTTTTTGGATCTCATCAGCGCGTCGCAGGCAGCTCCGACAGAACACAGACCAACTTTTACCTGCTGTCTTAACAGCAAATGTATTTCAATAACGTTTTAGAAGAAATAGAGACGTTTCCTTGCAGAAAAATCGTTGGCACAAAGTCACAAAGAAAGTTTGTGAAAGTACCTTTGAGTCGAAGAGATTTGAACATGTGCTGGTCCCTGTTTCACTGTGGAGACGGAAGCTGTTGTAACTGAAGGGATTTTGGCAGGGGAGGAATGATGACTGAGTGTTTCGGGTGAAACGATAACAGCGCTGTGTGACGCCGGAGACGGCAGCAAAGGGTCGACACCCCCGAGAGCGCTGCTCCTGCTATCGCCGCTCACGTTTTGTGGTGGAATCGTTGGCCAACTGAAAAAAAAAAAAAAGAAAAACGTGGTTTGAATAATTATGCAAACGTCATTTTATTCGCCAGAACTCCAGGCGATACAATTTGTGTGCTCGCACTTTTTTTGCTTTATCCAACCCGTATCAACTGATTCAATTATCGTAACTCGTAAGTGACGATCTATCTTTTACACAAACAAAATTTACAGGGCGTTCGTAAAAAGAGATCATTTTAAGAAATATTTTACGTTTAGGTTAAGAGATAAATAAAATTATAACATCAGCATCATAAGATCGTCAGTCCTAAGACTGATTGGACACGCTCCTCCACTTTTCCCTATCCTGACCTAACCGCATTTCCCTAAAACTACAACATTCCGCATCATTACCTTTTTGCGAACAGTAATCTAATCTAGGTCTAGCTATACCCTTCCTAACTCCTGTTTCTGCCTCTAATATGTCTCTGACTAGACCTTCATGCTTGAGAAGGTATCCTACCAACGTATCTCAGCTATTTTTTATTGGCTTCCACAGAGTCCTCTGAAATTTCTAAATTTACCGTTCGCGAGCATAGAAGTGACTTCTTTTTATTGAAGGCGACTCGACCCTGCATTAACCTCTGCTTTATATCCTTACTACTCCTTCCGTAGTTCCTAGATACCTAAAATCAGCGACTTCTTTTAATCATTCGTCTCCTATCTCCATATTCGCTTTTTCTCTACTTTTTCTACCCTTGCATACCAGTATTTCTGTTTTACTTGAAATTATAACTGTTAAACAATTTATTGTTCATTATTATTTATTATTAAAAAGACGGAATGTATTTGAATATTCTTAAAAAAACGAAATCTTTAATTTATTTTTTAATATTTTCATTTGTTTTTTGTTTGTTATAATTTCTTTCCTTTAGCTTAGAATAGGTACTTTAGCAAATATGTATATACAAGCCCTACAGGATAAAATTTGATCAAATTGCAGAACATTTTTTTTTTGTAAAGGACTTTTAAAAGCGACAATTGAATTATGTTGTTTTCTTACTAAAATTGAGTTCTCAATTTTCTCCTTCGCAAACAAAAAGACAAAAAAGAGAATCGAATTAAAAAAGGCCTTGAAATTAGAATTAACAGTGTCCGTTTAAAAAGAACAAACAAAAAAAGAGTACCTGAGGGTTCTCTCCCTGAGGCCCATTTCCACTTGAACTTTGAACTTTACAACGGGCGGCGACATTAAATCAGCGAGCGCTCTTTCATGTTGGTATTGGCCGTATGTTGTGGCAAAGACACAACAGACAAAACTAAAGTTAAACCGCGAGGGTAAATCAGAATGGAAGATCATTATCTCATTGTTTCAATTATGTTATTACCGCATACACCGTCGGCTGCTGATGCTGGTTGTTTAGCCCCCCAGTACAGTGTGACGCGACATTTTTAAACGTTAAGTGCTCTTACAATTTAATTTGATTACTCGGCTCCAAAAATTGGTTAATGGCACACATTTCCTAGCGCTTTTCTTTGACTCCAAAGGTATCGTATTTCAGCAAGAACAGCAAACATATTCGGACAATACCCACAACACTACATACCCACTGTTATAATTCTAAAACCCATCGAATGGAGCAGTTCTTTCTATATTTTAAAATTTATTTATTATTTTATAAAGGTGTATGTTTGGAGCGCGGCGTTGTACGGCTGCGAAACATNGCGTTGTACGGGTGCGAAACATGGACAGTGGGAGCGGCGGAAAAGAAAAGGTTAGAAGCGTTCGAAATGTGGTGTTATAGGCGGATGATGAGGATATCGTGGGTAGAAAAGGTTAGAAATGAGGAGGTATTGGAAAGAGTAGGAGAACAGAGGACCCTATGGAAGTCAATAAAAAATAGGCGAGATAGGTTGGTAGGACACCTTCTCAGGCATGAAGGTCTAGTCAGAGACATATTAGAGGCAGAAACAGGAATTAAGAGGGGTAGAGGTAGGCCTAGGTTAGATTACTGTTCGCAAATAGTTAAGGATGTGGGTTGTTCTAGTTTTAGGGAAACGCGAAGATTAGCTCAGGATAGGAAAGTGTGGAGGTACGTGTCCAACCAATCTTAGGACTAACGACCTTATGATGATGATGACTTGTTTAAGATATTTTACCTATCCATCTACCAGAAGAAAATTTGACAAATAAAAGCATGTGCTTTTACAGCATATGTGATTCTTTTTTAATAAAATAAAATAAAATAAAAAGAAGACAGTTTTAAATTTAAATTCGTTTCTACAGTTGTTTCGGGTGGTTATCTCACCCTCAGTTGTTAAGTCCTACTTAATTAATCTTCGCTTGGCGTGTAAAAGACTTCAACTTAAGACATTGCAGCTTGTATGCAGGTGCTCTAAGACGGTTTCGTATCTTGAATTTTTACGGTCCCAGAGACTCACCGAGGGTCCAAAATAAAAAAAGAAAAAGTGTCAGGTTTCTACCTTAAAACATATTAACTCATTCTATACGACTATTTACAATTTAACTATCAATAAATTCGTCAATATCATCAATACATATTTCTTGAAAATTATACGCTCTAAGTTCTTGAGGAGTATTTTTCAACTTCAAAACCTCTGAAGTGTAAAAAAATTAACTTGAATTATTCTTCCGTGAAAGTTAGGATTTCAAACGAACTCACTAAAAAGCATTGAACATCAATATCGAATAAAGGGTCTAAGATGATCCGATAAAGGAAGAAGAAGGTAAAAGCACTTATAGAACTTTTTTGATTCGTTTTCAATACGATCCGGAAGTTGTTCGTTAGCTAACTCAACTCGCCATTAATGGAAAATGTAGAAGATATTCTGCTTGCTCTTGAAAACGATAAAATGTATATATACTGAAATAAGAACCATAGAAATAATTTTTATTTTTAACTCTGTACGATATACTCGAATATACTTTTGTATCATTTCGTATGAAAGAGATACACCTATCCAGGTATTAGGTACTCTACATAAATAGAGGAAAAGTTATTCACATTTTGATTCTTTACAATTTTTTAACGTCTCCGTAAATTAATCATTAATCTAGTGCATAAATAAGTCTTTATAACAGCATAACTTCAAAATTTCTCTCGTATTTATTAATAATCTAATCTAGGTCTAGCTATACCCTTCCTAACTCCTGTTTCTGCCTCTAATATGTCTCTGACTAGACGTTCATGCCAGAGAAGGTATCCTAC